GAAACAGGAAATCCAAAAAATCCAAGTGATTTGTATAATTAAATAAACTTTCATAGTGAATAATTGAGTTGGATCAAATCAAACAAGGTTTGGAAGATGCAATCAACATTAAAAGGGAAAATGCCAGATGCTGATCACCAGAAAGCCTGACAAAAAATCTACCACATAATAGAAAGTATCTTTCTTTCTATTTTTTTGTAAAAAGCAATTAAGATAGAATTTAGACAAAGACTTGTAGGATTGGAGGATGAAAAGAGGAACATGAAAATTTGAAGGACAGAAGCAGAGAGCATGAGATGGGTGGAGATGCTTTAATATGCTCTTCAAGATTTGACATCTGTCATCTCTTTCTTTTTTTTGTTTTTTTGGCTCTCTTTCACACACATTAGACACACTCCCCCTCTCTTTGTCGTTTTCCTCTTATCAATGCATTTTCTTTTTCTTTAATTTTTCTCTTCTCTTTCTTCTCCACTTTCTCTCGTTTTGCTCCTTCAAGTCTCAACGCCCAGATTTTATTATTGTATGTATAAATAACAAAGAAAACAACATAAAAACTCAAGCTTTTTTTGGGGTGAAGAAAAGAAGCCTTTTTAATCTTTAATGATCACATTTGAGCTGTTTTTCTATATCTCTTTTCTGTAAATGGTGAGTGAAGACCATATCTTTGTTTTGCTTTGCTTATTCAATCTTTTTTCTTTTTTTTTTCCATGTCTCATTTCCCAGATGTTAAAAGCTTCTTGCTTGAAACACCTAAAAAGAGTGAGGGAAAAGAAGGCTCTACTACAGTTGACAAATTAGGTAGTAGTCATTCTTTATTAGATAAAGTTTCTATATTTACTTTCCTTTTCTTGATTATAATTGTAGCCAATTATTTGACAGAGAGAGGGAGGGAGTGGGCTGTGGGGGAGCAAAAATTTATAAGAGGCTGAGAAGGGTTGCCTCAGATCCAGGGAACCCTTTATATGATATCTGAAAAAGGGTACTATCCTTTTTAGGGTTTTCCTGTGATTCTTGGGGCATCACCTTTCTTGAGTTCTTTCTCATGACCCTTCTTTTAATTTTTTTTTTCTCCCAAGTCGTTCTTTTTGTGTTTGAGGATAAAGGGTTGGTTTCAAATTTGATCTGATCGTGGGTTTTCTTAAAGTTTTGTTCTTTTTTATTTTTCATTTTTTTTTTGTGGATATTGAGTTGTTTCTCTCTTAACTGTAGTTGATGGAGGTAGATAAGGAAGAGTCCAGAGAAGAAGAAGTTGGGAAAAGCATAATCAAGGTCTAAAGTAACTATTTTGGGGTGGTAATTTCCACAAATGGAAGTTTGGATTCACTTGTGGTTGACCAGATCTGACTAACCCATTTCCCTTTCACTACCTTTTTTAGCTCACCCATAAGCTGCATCCCCTGAACTTGCATCCTTTTTCGGGACACCTTTGAGTTAACTAAGGCATGGGAAATGGTCTGTTAAAACCCACCATTCACATTCCATTGTCATTCTTTATTTCGGAAGAAGGTGATAGTTTCGTTGAACAATGACAGGTTGTGTGATTTTTGAGGGTTGGAGGGTAACTTTTTGTACTGCCCAGATAGGGATTTTGATGGAGGAGATGTCTCGACGGTCGCGGTGCCATTTAGATTAGGTAATTCAGTCTGTGAAAACTCTACTTTGCTACCCGTATGGACATCACAAGACTTAAGCTTATGGCAAATCCTGCTGGTATATTAACTGATTCTGCGACCGAGGCTACTAACCAGCCAATTACTGGTGAAGATGTGGATTGTAACTGTACTGCCATGGGGACAGAAGAAAGTAGTATAGAGGTGACACTGCCAGAAGAGGTCAAGGGAGAAGGAGCTACTCTTTGGATATGTTATCTGATAGTAAAGTTAGTTGGTTTGCTAGTAATGATGTTATAGCCCAAGAAAGTGAGGAGGAGGAGGATTCTTTCTCCTTGGAAGGTGATCATGTTCTTGATCTTGATAGCTCTTGTTCACTATCAGTGGCAAGTGAGACTAGTAGCCTTTATGGAGAGGATTTTTTGGGTTTCGATGCTACTTCTGAGGTAGGAACACCAAGTTCTGTGGACATTGAGAAAAGTATTTGCAGTGTAGATTTTATCGCAAAGGCCACCAACTTTGTGGAGTCCAACGTTGAAACAGTGGTTGGAAGTGAACCCCTTGCTGTTGCAGTAAGCCTTGAGGAAGAGATTGGAGATGGGTCTGAACAAAAGCCATCTGCAGTGGTTCTTCAATTGGCTGTTGAAAAGGAGCTGAGTACAACAGTTCCAGTTCCACGCAGTGTATTTGAGGTGGAATATGTTCCTCTTTGGGGATTTACCTCTATTTGTGGACGGAGACCTGAGATGGAAGATGCAGTTGCTGCTGTCCCTCGGTTTTTAAAGGTTCCCATTCAGATGCTAATTGGTGATCGGGTACTTGATGGCACAAGCAGGGGCTTTGCTCATCAGACTGCTCACTTCTTTGGGGTCTATGATGGTCACGGAGGCTCCCAGGTCAGTTTTGTAATTTCCTTTGTATCTTCATGTTTAGCTTTCTTTCCTTTCCATTAAATCATGCACAAGATGTCCTGGAAGTAAATTTCTTGTTTTGGTCTTCGCCATTGCACAGGTTGCAAACTACTGTCGTGAGCGTATTCACTCTGCATTGGCTGAGGAAATAGAGTTTATTAAGGAATGTTGGAGTAATGAAAGCATAACAGATAGTTGCCAGAGCTGTGGAAAAAGGCATTCACAATTTTTTGTAAAGTTGATGCTGAGGTTGGAGGCCAAGCTAGTCAGAACCGGTTGCCCCAGAAACAGTTGGTTCTACTGCCGTTGTTGCCCTTATTTGTTCTCTCACATTGTTGTAGCAAACTGTGGAGATTCAAGAGCTGTTCTATGTCGTGGGAAAGAGCCCATGGCTTTGTCAGTGGATCATAAAGTAAGAGACCATGAATTGCACATTTCTATGTCGTAGTTTGCTTAATCAACTGTTGGGATTTATACCCTTTTGTTTCATTTGTTCATATATCTTAGCCCAATCGGGAAGATGAATATGAAAGGATTGAAGCAGCCGGAGGCAAGGTTATTCAATGGAATGGGCATCGAGTTTTTGGTGTTCTTGCAATGTCAAGGTCCATTGGTATGTCTTCAGGCTTACGAACTCTTTTCATTTCCCACTTTATGTTATTTATTTTTTCTCCTTTCAAACCGTAATTAAGAAACAGAAAAGGGAGGGGGAGCACATCTTTTCGTGAGACAATTATCCCCAAAATGACATCCTCACCATATTGTGTCTCTAGTGAACTTAGTTATTATCATGTTGCAAGCAAAATCCAACATATGTCTCTTGTGAGAAAGGATTGTTTGGTGTACCCATGTACCTCACTGGGGTCATTAGCTGTATTATCTGTGTATACTGATGCTTCAAATTGCTTCAATTTGGCACAGTTCTGCCTCATTAACCATTCAAGTGTGTTAATGGGGAGTGTCAGGGTAGTAATTCAAAATCTGTTACTGTTGTGATTGAATTTTATACTCTAGCTTCCAGAGTGCAGCTAGAGTACATGTTGCAAGCAGAATACAACATGTGTCTCTTGGGAGAAAGGATTGTACAGACTTGACTTATTTATTGTTGTGGTGTATGCAGTATCCATTTTATGCCTTATTAAGCTCTGTGGAGAACTTTTTTCCTCTTTCTTTTATGTGTGTTAACTGTTAAAAAGGAGCAGCTAATTTTTAGTAAAAGAAAACTTCGTTGACTTGGCCCAAAAGAATTATAATCCTTGAAAGAAGATTGGTAAAGGTTAGCAAGAATAATAGATTATTAATATTATTTAACATAACTTTTAATTAACTTCAAATTATACTATTAGTGCTGTCATTTTTCTAAAAACCATGCATCAGTTAGATATTTCCTTAAGTGCCTTGTGATTGCATTCTGAGGCTAGTTGCTTGAGTACTTCTTTCATGGAGCCATGCAGGATAATAGTAATAGAATGTAAAGTCTTCTATTGTCAGGTCACAAACTCTTAATGCACCTGGTTGCAGGTGTTTCCTCTGTTGATGTGGGCATTTAAGCGTACTGGATTGATGCTTGTCATAACTAATTTGACTGGGCAGAGTAACTAAAATATGGAAATGACCATGCTTGTTGTTTCAGGTGATAGATATTTGAAGCCATGGATCATTCCAGAGCCAGAAGTGATGTTTGTTCCAAGAGCGAAAGAAGATGAATGCCTCATTTTAGCCAGTGATGGTCTATGGGATGTTATGACAAATGAAGAAGCATGTGACCTGGCTAGGAGACGAATACTTCAGTGGCACAAAAAGAACGGTGCTGCAGTGACTTCAGATAGGGGTGAGACAATTGATCCTGCTGCTCAAGCTGCAGCAGAATACCTTTCAAACCGCGCTCTGCAAAAGGGAAGCAAGGATAACATCACTGTAACTGTGGTGGATTTGAAAGCTCAAAGGAAGTTCAAGAGTAAGACATGATGGTCACTGTTAACCACCCTTTAGTCTCCAATCTTACCATATGACATAATTTCATATGGTTCGATATAGTTTTTCCCATTTGATTTTTCAGGGGTCCTCTATGGCTTTATGACAGTATCAGTTTGTATGTACCATAGAACATTCACCATTCTAGTACCTCTCCATTGCTTCAAGAGTCTTGATGTAAACCATGCCAAGTTATTGGCTATTGTAAATCTTAGCTGTGCCTTAGAAATAGGAGATTATATCAGTTCCATGCTTTTGACATTGGTGGGAAAAATTGTATTCATAGCCTCCGAGTTAAAATCACTCTGTGAGGTATTTGTTTGTATTATTTCAACCGCATGGTGCTTATAAAAGTGGGCAAATTTGGGAGGTAGCTTGCACCACTCTTCTTCACACCTTTTCCTTGATTGCTTTTGACCATATGTTTCTCCTTTGTAGCAGAATAAGCCGGCCAATGCTAATGTGGTTATGCAAGTGATTGTTTTTGGCCATGAAAGGTGCATCCTTTCTCATAGTGCAGCATACGTGTGGATAGGCGTCTATGCTGCTCCACCTTTGAACTTAACTATTGATGCTTTTCATTCCATTTTTTAAGTCTTGGAAATAAACATTGCTTTGATGTTTTAACCGATTACTAGTAAGGTGTACCTGTGACCTACTTGAATCCATTATTTTATTCATATGAAAGCAAAGGAAAAGAATTGTAACAGTGAAATTATAAAATAAACAAAAGAAAGATTGTCCTAGGATTCGCTGATTGCCAACTTCTTCACAACTTCAGCCAGGCCTTTCTCCTTGCGAATGCTATGCACCCAGTTGGCATTGATCTGGACCTGCTCAATGCTCTGCTTCAAGGTTCTAGTAATTGAAGGCTTCGTGCGACTTGCAAAGAACTCCTTTACTTCCTTCACTTTCTCAGACGAAGCAAACTGTGAATGGAGAAGAAAATTAAGAAAACAATCAAAGTAATGGTAAACATTTTAACAAATGATCCTGAGAGTAAGCAAGAACAAAACAAAGAATGCAAAGTAGAAACTGTAATAGAGAGGACAGGGCACTAACCGGCGAGACAATTGAACTGACAAAATGAGTTATTAGAAATCCAGAACCATATGTTGTCCAGATGCTATCCCAGTTATCCTGTATACCAATTATTAAACAGAGAAGAAGAAGAAGAAGGAAAGCATTAAACTGAGCTGCAAAAGAAGAAGAAAGAGCAGTACCTTGAGCCATTTCCAGGCAACTTCACGTCCTTCGTAATGAACAGTAAGTCCAAAAACAGCATCTTGGCTACGAACCTAAAGACCATGGAAAATGATCATGATACCATCGAATTCCAGGGTATTTAGTTTATCAAGACAAAAGCTAACTTTCGAACTAAAGAGTTCGAATACCTCAGAAGACAAGGCAAAGTTTAGAGCTTCAAGAATTATACCCTGATCGGGACAAGATGCCAATGAACCTACAGAAAAACATGTATAAGGTTGTCACAAGTTCTATTGATTTGAGTCGTCTGCATCACAGTAGAAAAAGGACTGTCCTGTACCTAAAACGCAAGTTTTCTCCTGGCTTAGATCAGAATCTCTATAAACTCTCAAAAGATTTTCAAAACCTGTTGTGTCAGAGGAGCTGACCTTCTGCATTACAGCTACATAAGCTGCCTGCAAACAAGCATGGTCAATTAAAAGCTCAGTAGGTAAAGTTCTTTGGTTATTGTCCCAAGAACCTGAGATTAAAAACCTTTCTTATGTCAGGATGGAGGAGATACCCCTGTTATGTTAGATAGCTCAACCGTTGGACCAGGAAAAAGAAAACAAAAGACGGACAGTGTCTAAACTAATATTTGACAATCAATAACCTTTCTTATGCCAGGATGGAGGAGTGGTGTGTTTCTATTATCCAAGAAGGCATGAAATCGCCGGGTTGCTTCATCCAGTGTCTCCTCATGCCCAAGCATGGCAAGGGCAGTGAAAGCATCTGCTCTCGACATAGCATCCAGATGACTCTCACCTTGTTTAGGGTCCCATCCCAGCTTCCTGTAAGAAAATTAGAACATAAATAAAAGAGAAAGAAAATGTAGTTGGGTTGGTAATCCTGCTTGTCCAGTCCTATTTTAGTTTAAGAACTGGATTACATAGATGATAGTTTCTTAATCACTTTTTTAAATAAATTGCCACATGCAGGGCAGCCTCCCCGGCCAATTAGTTTTAACAGTAATTGCTAATCAAGCATGCCATGCAATGCATCCATCCATATCAAAAAGTAACTTACTCAGCAGAATACAGGAAAAGGCCAATAAAAAATTGTTTAATGTCAGTCATTAGTTCAGGTTTTGCATCTGCAACAATCCTTCCAACTTTTCCAGTTATCTGCCGAAATGCAAGAGCCAGAATTAGGGCTAGGAGCATTATTGAAGTAAACTTCAACAAGACTGTGAACATTACGTTAATCAAGTTAGACAGCACAGTATGCTCAAGTTCCGCTCGGTAGGCACCCATGAAGGTAAGCAAGGAGGTCAAAGACATTTGACGTGCCATACAAAGCGCAAACGAATCATCCAGAATGCCTGTTAACATAACATGTTAACATTAGCATCTCTATTTTACCATCCAAGAGCTATATATACAAGGGCTAAAGAAAATATGAGAATTACCAAGTCTGTCTGTTGCCGATAAGTAGTTGTTTTCTATTGCGTATCGAAGTTTAGCTGCAAGGCCCTGGTCATACTTCACCCTGAAGAAACCAATCTGGTCCACATTAAGCTTTATCCAAGAACGTGCTGGATCATTACTTTTATCACTGTCTGAAAAGAAACTCTTTATATCATGAGTTTGAGATTTTTTTTCCAGCAGGAAGCTTTTCCGACTGTCATAGTCACCGCAGCAAAATGTCATTGGGATAATCCACTGCCCATTCCCTCCGGAACCGCTATATAAGAATTGTGACTGCCATTCATTACGTTACTGGTTAGGACACCACCCTTACTTAAGGCTTAACAATTTAACATCACAATGAAGTCATCATAGAATGAAACAGCTGACTCTGTATTTGAATTGACAGATATGAAATACAATCATTTCAAAGTTTTAATTGGCCACAGTAATTAATCAAACATGAGTAAACCTGCTCAATTTGCAATGTCTGATTTTTCATTTTGACAGAGACAACTGGATACCCCTTCTGCTTCGTCCATGAATTCATTATTTTGTTCACAGGTTCATCACATCCTTCCATAAGAGCGGCCCAAAGGTCTTCTGTCCTGGCATTCGACCATGCATGCCTTTTTATATATGAAGCAAGTGAATTCTGATAGCAGGAATAAATGAGGCTAAGTTCCGGTTTAATCCAAATAGAATAATAGTATAAACTTTAAGTTCATAAAGTTAAAACTAGGAAATCTTAGATTAACAGATACAAAAGCACGTACATTTAAAGAACCAGAAGACCAACCTGAAAGTGTTGCCCCCCTAAATAGTGTTGCAGCATCCGGATAATTGATGCACCCTTTTCGTAGCTTATCATGTCGAATATTTCATCAATTTCAGAGGCATGATTTATCTCCACCTGCAAAGTAAAACATGCTAAACATCAAATATAGAAGAAAGAAACAAGAAATTATATCAATCCTCTGTTAATTGTATCGAAAAAAAATAACCCGGCTCGGTGCCTATTCACCTCAATTGGGTGGGATTCTGCAAGCCCATCCAGCCCAAGACCTTGACTAGATTCACGATCAAAGAACTGTGTCCATATTTTCCATTCGCGGAACAGCTCATCTTGTGCCAAGTAGCTCGCCTGGAAATGCACAACCACTAGTAATAAGCACATGCTAGTGATAAAAAGAAAAAAACAATAGAAGTTGCCATACCCAGGTTGCAAAACCCTCATTCAGCCAAAGGTCGGTCCACCATTCCATTGTTACAAGATTTCCAAACCACTGGTGTGCCAATTCATGGGCCACCACTGTTGCAACCTTTTCAGCAACCAAGTACACTAGTCAAACATTTTGTGCAATGTGGGTCTAGGGAAAGTATATCTGAAAAAGAGACCATCACCATATGCACTAACCCGCTGCTTGTTGGCAGCTGCAGAATGCTGATAATCGTAGAGCAAAGCCGCTTCACGATATGTAACTAAGCCATAGTTCTCCATTGCCCCAGCAGCAAAATCAGGGATTGCAACCATATCCAATTTGGGAAGAGAGTATGGCATATGAAAATAACTATACAAATTAATTATTACAATGAATAAAATAAACTGCATGCTCCCAATTGAAAGACTAATAACATAACTAAGGAAAAGCCCAAGGTCGTCCCTGGTTTGTATGTAGATCTATCAGCTTGAGACTCAAAAAGCTGGGAATAACAATGAACCATAAAAATTGGATTATACCGAAGTCCGAAACATACTCTTTGTAAAACCCAAGCGCCTTCACAGCAACGTCCAGAGCAAATTTCCCTTCATTTGCCTTGCCAACTTGACAATATACTCGAACTTTGATCCCTGGTGCAGAGATACAGTTAAGTAAACTATAGCAAGAACCAGGGCTGGACAGTCATAAGCAGCAACAGATCATTACCATCCGATGTATGATCCTCTACGTAATCAAACAAACCAATGACAACTGCCACCAGATACGTAGACATGATTGGTGATTCTTGATAGAAGACTGTTTTCAGATTGCCATTCACTTTCTCCTCAATGACTGGCATGTTTGAGAGGGCCACAAGTTCAGATGGCACATCCAATAAAGTGATCTTAAACGTAGCCTGCGACATGGAGTCAAAAACAAGAAACAATTTTAGTGATGTCAAAGGATGAAGCTGCATACAAATTAACAATATTGATGTGATCTTGAATGTAGACTTTAAATGAAGCTGCATATATATACCATTAATAAAGCAGAAATTTTATATTCAGAACAGATAATCGAAAAAAGGGCCGAGAAGGAAAGAATATGCATACAACACCTTGAAAGCAGGTTCATCCCAGCACGGAAAGCACCCTCTAGCATAAGCTGGCTCGAAATGCGTAACTGCCATATTCTTCTTCTCGCCATTATGCTCAAACGTACTGAATTTCAAGATATGATCAAATATCAAATAAATATCCCTTTTCTCCCTTGCTTTTGACAAGCAATTAATCAAGATGAAAAATTTTCCTTATATACCTTCTGTAGAATCCCTTCATTTTGTCATTTAAAATTCCCTCAAACTCGATAGCCAAAACTCCCATTCCCTTCGGAAGTGTCTCAGCAAACTCCAACACTAGAATCTCGTCCGCTTCCACCAGGCCTACTTTAAAAGCCTCAAATACCTGTTTAACAACCAAGACAAGTATATGCCTTTATCCCATTGAGTTGACTAAAATTTTACATGCAAAAGAGATCACCGAGAGAAATTAGTCGAGTCTGTTTCTCTTTTCCTGCAAAATTCTCAGTAACCAAACTGACTACCAGAAGTCAACAAAAAAATTTTTTTTGGAAGTTTAATAGCCCAAAGACCGAGTCTTACATTGAATATAACTGTGTTTGGCTGCCGAAAACTACATGACGACATATTCATAACTTGTTAAATGAAAATGGAAAATGGGAAATGAAAGTTGCTCTCGAGAAGTAATATGCAAACAAATTATAGAGAGTTTGTTGAGATGGTGGAAACCTTGGAATAGTTTTGAGGGGAGAAGGAGACGGACCCGTGGTTGATGGAGAGTTGAGCAGCATTGAGGACGATGAAACGAGTATCAGCAACGATGTCAAGGTGGATAGAGACAGAACCTCCGAATTTGCAGGCTGAGAGGTCCGGAGTCAGGTGAATATGGTAGCTTTTCGGGACAGCGAATTTGGGGAGACGAGGTTGCCCTTGGAAGTGAATCGTCGGTTCTGTGGAAGGTGACAACCTCTGAGAACCTGAGGTACCAGGTTTCCTGAAACAGGAAAGGCACTTCTTGAACAGACACATGGTGTTTGTTTGAGGACTTCCCCTCGGAAGGACGGAATGTTAAAGAGAAAATGATGTTTAAAGAATTATTCAGAACCAGTTGGGAAAAGAGGCAGAACTTTGACAGAGGTATGGAAAAGTAGAAGCTAAGGATAACAGAGGGGTTGCCATTTATTTATATATAGCTTTGCGAATTGCGAGAGTGAAGAAACCGTACGTTACATGCAGCGGGAAAGGATTGCTTTTAGTTATATAAAATCAACCACATCATATCCTCTGTTTCTATTTAACTTTTCTAGTTTACTGATGGACTTTAGAATAAGAATATTAACAGCTAAGTTAATTAGATGAATGCAGCCAAGGAGTTTGGTATTAGATGCTTGCTTAGAGACAGAGGCACTTGCAGTCTTGCACTTTGTTTAAGAGACCCACCCACTCTTTACATTTTAAATTAAATCAATTCCTTATATACCAAACTTCTCTCTCCGGAGGATGTATAGATGGGGCGACGCAACATAACGATTGTTGTTTTATTGGAACGACTATCCATAAAAAACAATTATATTTGGATTATGTCATGGATTGACGTCTTAATTATGACGTTGTCTTACACTTTGGGTGTATTTGGGTTTCAAGTTTAATAGATAGATATTCCTTAGACATCCACCTTTGGTGATGAGATGAGAACTTTCTATTACTTTATTGCTATCGATTTATAAAAGTTTTTCTCACTGTGTTGAATCTCTACCTCAAATAAAGTCTTTCACCCTTGCCTGCGCCACTCAGTTTACTTTGTTCCTATAATTAACAATGGTTTTATTTGAAACACGATAGGTATGTTTTCATTCAAAAAAATTGTTCTCATAAAGTAATTTCAAAGATACTCATCTATATAAAATTATTTATTTAATCCATATATAACATGAGTAAATTAAAATACTTTTAAAAACATTTGTGATAAATTAATTTTTCGATATCTTCTTTTTATCATAAAAAAATTAAATACTGTCAACTCTACAAATTCTTTATTAATCACCATTATCATCGTGCTGTAATCTATCTTTTAATATTTTGACCATGTCATAATCGATATACAAATTTTAAAACAAAAATGACATCAAGATATGTTTAATTTTTTAATTTTTAATTTTTATTCGGTGTTTTGTTGTTTGAAAAATGTTTTATAGTCTCGATATTTAAAAAAAAGAAGAACAATTCTCAAATAGCATACAATAGAAAGTTGTTTCAAAAACTTTATTTTCTGTTGAAAGAAAATTGTAAGTACAAATAGATTACTTTCCTTAAATTTAATAATCATTAAAATGCCAATTTATTTATTGCTGAGCAAAAGAAACTACAGGGTAGAGGGAGACTCCAAATCTACAATTCAGATGAATGAATTTCTTCCTTCAATTTTCTCTCATTTGAGCTCGTCTTTTTCTTGCATGTTCTCTTACTAGCATTTAGCAGTATGTGGAAAAGACACTAGACAATATGATTATCAGCAAGACTACTAGAAACTGACGACGTCCCATGCATTATTATTCATATTACTCGGTCAAGTATGAGAACAGTTAAAAGCCACCTCAACAGCTTTCTAGTCTACATCTAAAGTAAAGCTAAAGAGGAAAAAACGCACTAGAAAGATCAATCTTAGTATTTCCTGTAAGCTAACTCCCGCACGGCCTCAGCCAGGTTTTTCTCTTCCTGAATGCTCTGAACCCAATTGGCATTAATGTTGACCCGCTCAAGGCTCTGCTTCAACGTTCTGGCAATTGAATGCTTTGTCCGGCTTGCAAAGAACTCCCCCACTTCCTTCACTTTCTCAAATGAAGCAAACTGTGTACAAGACAGACATACACGCGAGGCAAGATTAGAGAATAAAAAAGCACACAACACACACACAATAAACAAATGATATTTATGATCACATATAAATGGTCTCTCTATAGTAAAGGGTAAAATTAAACAAGTGAAACAGAATGCATAACAGACAAAAACACAAATTCAGATTATAAATTATGATTAAGTTAGAGAGAGAAAGGGCAGAGCAGGGCACAAACCGGTGAGACAATTGCACTGACAAAGCGAGTTATCAGAAATCCACTCCCATATGTTTTTGAGATGAGATCCCAGTTATCCTGTATTCACATCATCAGACAGATGAGAAGAATGGAAAGGGAAAAAGAATAACAGGGGCTAAAATCAACAATATTTATGTTCTTTATATTACAAAAACTGAAGATCTCACAAGATGATGTATTGCCAAAACATTGGTTATTCACCAGCATCATATGTTCCTAAACAGTCAAGACTCAAGACACCCTTTTCCCCAATAATCTCCACATCTTCCCCCCTCATCCAAAAAAGAAAATCCCTGGTTCCTAGTATTACCTTGAGCCATGTCCATGCAACTTCACGTCCCTCCTTGCTAACAGCAAGTCCAAACACAGCATCTTGGCTGCGAACCTGAACCAAAGGGAAAATGTTATTCAGACCATCAGAGTAATTAGTTTATTAAGATCAATGGTAACCTTTCAACCAACAGTTAGAATACCTCAGAAGACAGTACAAAGTTTAGAACTTCAAGAACTATACCCTGATCCGGACAAGATGCCAATGAGCCTACAGAAAAAACAAGTAATGTAATTGTCAAATTCATAAACTCAACCATCTGCATCACAATGGCAAGGATTTGTCAGTACCTAAAATGCGGGTTTTCTCTTGGCTTAGATCAGTCTCTCTATAAACTCTCAAAAGAGACTCAAAACCTGCTCTGTCAGAGGAGTTGACTTTCTGCATTACAGCTACATATGCTGCCTGCAAGCAGAGAAAATGATAGTTAGCAGGTGACTATAAAAAGGGCAACAACTGCTTCAACTAATCCTTCACAATCAACAACCTTTCTTATGTCAGGAGGGAGGAGTGGTGTGTTTCTGTCATTCAAGAATGCATGAAATCGCCTCGTTGCTTCTGTCAGTGTCTCCTCATGCCCAAGCATAGCAAGGGCAGTCAAAATTTCTCCTCTCAACATTGCATCCAGATGACTCTCACCTTGTTTAGCATCCCAACCAAGCTTCCTGTTAGAATTAAAACAGAAAAAAGAATGTCAATGTAAGAAGCCAATCTTCCTGAATTTATATTGCAGAGTGCTTTCCACTTGGGTCAAAAGATGCAATGAGACTAAGTCTCCATTTGCTCATGAAGAACAAAAAGAATCCTTTCTCCCTTGAAGCTTTATATAATGGTCAAAATATGCAATAAGACCAAGTTTCCTTTTGCTTATGAAGATTAAAAAGAATATGTTCCCTTCATTCCTTTGGTCAATTAACAGCTTCAAGCTCAAGCACCTAAACAGGTTGGTAACATTAATTCTTGTTTTAGATGAAGAATTAAATTAAATAAAATGGATGAGCTTCTCAACCAGTTCTCAATAAATTGTCATGTGTTGCCAGTGTTACAATCCAACCAGATTTAGCATATACTTGAAGGCATCATAATGCAGCATGTCAAGCAGTAATTAAAATCACCAGGAAACTAGCAACCACATTTGAGATAACTTACTCAGCAGAATATTGGAAAAGGTTAACAAAAAATTGCTTAATGTCATCCATTAGTTCAGGTTTTGCATCTGCTGCAATTCTCCCAACCTTATACGTTATCTGCGAAAAGCAAAAGCCAGAATCAGGACTCAGAGACTAATGAAAGTAAATTTAAACAAGATAAGAGGTGAACAGTACACTTATCAAGTTTGACAACACAGTATACTCAAGTTCCTCTCTGTAGGCACCCATCAAGGTAAGCAAGGAGGTCAATGGCAGCTGGCGTGCCATACAAAGCGCAAATGAATCATCAAGAATGCCTGTAAAAGGAAGAAGTAATGTTAACTTATCTCTTTACCGTTCCAGAACAATATGCGATCTAATGCAAATATTCAAATTACCAAATCTGTCAGTGGCAGTCAAGTATTTGTTTTCTATTGCATAACGAACTCTAGCTGCAAGTTCCTCATCATATTTCACCCGATAGAAACCAGTCTGATCGACATTAAGCTTTATCCAAGAATGTGCTATACCACTTTTGTTGCTGTCAGAAAAGAACTCCTTTACATCGTGAGTTTCAGACGTTGTTTGTAACAAGAAGCTTTTCTTCTTGTCATATGACCCACAACAAAAAGTTATCGGAACAATCCACAGCCCATCCCCATGGCAACCACTAGCTAAGAATTGTGACTGCCATTCATCACATCAAGTGTTAGAACACAAACTTCACTTTAAGAAAAACATCAAATAAAACCATCATAAAATAAAACAGCTGACAATGAATTTGAATTGAGAGGCACAATTTCAAAGTTTTAATTGAAGAGAAACCCCCCATCTTCCCCCACCAGGTCCACCCAACCAAAAAGAATCAAACACAATTAAACCTGCTCAAATTCCAACTTCTGATCTTTGACTTTGACAGAGACAACTGGATAACCCTTCTGCTTTGTCCATGTATTCATTAGCTTGTTGACTGGTTCACCAGATCCCTCCTCAAGGGCAGCCCATAAGTCTTCAGTCTTTGCATTTGAGCATGCATGTTTTTTTATATATGAAGCAAGTGACCTCTGATTGCAGGAATGATTCACATGTGAATAAATCAAATTAACTTTTGAGTTTAAGATATTCAAAGAAAAATTATACAAATTTAAGTTCACAAATGCAATGAAGAAGATTGTTGTAAACATATGACCTCGAAAGCATTTATGAAATAAATAAATACAAGTAGACTTTCCATCTGTTTTCATCAGAAATAAGTACTAGTAAGATAATCTTAATACTTGGAAGGTTCAAAAGAAGCAGGTAAAATAAATCAATTGCACACAAAAAAAAAATGCAACAATCATTTAGAAATCAGCTGATGAAAGAATCATGATACATGTAACAAACCAGACCAACCTGAAAGCATTCAGCACCTAAGTAGCTTTGTAGCATCCGGATAACTGATGCACCTTTTCTGTAACTTATAGCATCAAAAATTTCATCAATTTCACCAGCATGATTAATTTCCACCTGCAAAGCCAATTATTTTAAATATCAAATATTCTAGCAACAAGCAATCATACCAACCTTTCTAATGTACAGAAAATAATCCTGCTTTATATCCATTTACCTCAATTGGGTGGGATTCTGCAAGCCCATCCAACCTAAGACCGTCAGTAGATTCATCAAGAAACTGAGTCCATATTTTCCATTCTGGAAACAAGTAATCAGTTGCCAAGTAGCTCACCTGAAAATGCATAATCATTAGTTATACAGTTCCTAGCAGAAGCTGGTTATAGTAAATACAGATGGAAACATAAAAATCCAAAGTGCCTTACCCATGTTGCAAAACCCTCATTAAGCCACAAATGTGTCCACCATTCCATTGTCACAAGATTACCAAACCACTGGTGTGCCAGTTCATGGGCCACCACTGTTGCAACCTTAACAGCAACCAAGTAGTATTGTCAAAACATTTTGTCTGATGCAGGATGAAATAATATGATAAAGATACCAACATAATTTACAAATTTTACCCTCTGCTTATTGGCAGCTGCAGAGTGCTGCTCATCATAGAGCAAAGCCGTTTCACGGTATGTAACTAAGCCATAGTTCTCCATTGCACCGGCAGCAAAATCAGGAATAGCAATCATATCCAATTTGGGAAGAGCGTAAGGCACAGCAAAATATCTATAGAAGTTAACAGAATTAATTGGGAATAAATGCAGAAAATAGATTGTAAGCATTAAGCAGCCATGTGAAAGAACAGCTGATAGTCTTCACCAGTTTGTATAGTAAGAGACATAAAATGAGGGAATAACAATCAATACACAAGTAATTGAATGATGAGAAATCAGAGAAAACATACTCTTTGTACAACTCAAGTGTCCGCACAGCAACATTTAGAGCAAATTTCCCTTGATTTGTCTTCCCAACTTGACAGTATACTCGAACTTTGATCCCTGAACAGAGATACAGGTAAAATGTCAAGGCCATAAATAATAGAGTATGCCCAGGCTGTCAACGTAAGCAATGAATAACAAAATATGATCTTACCATCTGATGTGTGATCTTCCACATAATCGAACAAACCAACAACAACAGCCACCAAATAAGTGGACATGATTGGTGATTCTTGATAAGAAATAGTTTTCAGAGGGCCATTCACGTTCTCCTCAACAACAGGCATGTTTGAAAGGGCTACTAGTTCAGATGGCACATCCAATGTGATCTTAAATGTAGCCTATAACACAAGTTTTGTCATCAAGCTTTGATGTCAAGACTAAACTTAACGAGTAATAAACAAGCTTTTAGAATAGACAAGACAATAACCTTGCAAGCAGGTTCATCCCAACACGGAAAGCATCGCCTAGCATCAGCTGGCTCAAACTGTGTAACTGCCATATTCTTCTTCTCACCATTATGCTCGTAAGTACTGAATGTCAAAATATCCTAAATTAGATAACATCCTACTCTTTTATTTTCATCAAAAAGAGTGTGTGTGTGTGTGTGTGTGTGTGTGTCTATATATGCATGTAATGGGTACCTTCTATAGAAACCTTTCATTCTGTCATTTAAGACACCCTCAAATCCAATAGCCAAAACCCCCAGCCCCAGAGGAAGTGTCTCGGCAAAATCTAACACCAAAATCTCATCCTCTTCCACTAACTCTACTTCCGATGCCTCAAATACCTGCTTAACAATCAGTTACATCGCAGTAAGTTGACCAAATTTTAGTTAAACAACAGATTACGAAATCTTACTTCGAATCCTAAAATAACCTAAGTGAAGTGGAAATGAAGAAATGAAAAGCTCTAAAGCAATCAAATATTGCTTTCAAACTAAAGGAAACGAAAAATATTTTTGTCGAGATCGAGGAGACCTTGGAGGAGTTACGAGGGGAGAAGCAGACGGAGCCGGGGTTGATGGAGAGTTCGGCGGCATTGAGGACGATGAAGCGAGTGCCGGCGACGATGTCGAGGTCAATTGAGACGGTGCCGGCGAATTTGCAGGCGGAGAGGTCAGGTTTCAGCCGAATATCGTAGCTTTTGGGGATCGCGAATTTGGGAAGACGAGGTTGCTTCTTGAATTGGTCCATCTTTCCAGGAGATGAGTCCAGGCGAGTTAGCGAGAGAGAGAGAGTCGAAGTGAGAGTGGAAATGAAGGGTTGGAGAAGCGAGGTGGAGACTTTATAGCTTGCTCTGCAAGAGTTTAGAATCAAAACGACCTCGTTTTTACTCTTCTGAAAAAGGAAAATGAAGATTCGAGCATATCTATTTACGACTTAAGGTAAGAAATTTTTAATTTGAATGGTTTTATTTACCTAATTCTAATTAAAGATTTATTTTATCAATTGAAATATTTTATAATATCTTCTTATTGATCTTAACATCAACCAGCCAATCAATCATTAAATCTTGGACTTTATTTAGGTTAATATACTTTAATTGCAAGCTGATCAAATGTTTTTCACACTCATATATATTATGTTTTTATTCTTTTCTTTTAAAGAGTTAACTGTTGTTGATTAAAGCAATTAATTCGCTTGGAGCACTATAAAAGAATATGGAATAAGTAAATGACTTATTAAATGTCGAGTATTGTTCTTTTGCTTTCAAATAAGAATGTTAATATTTCTTGCTAAATTAGATGAAGCTCTTAGTTAAATGATGGAAATCTTTGAAATAGGAGAACAGGGTACACTAAAATTAGAGAAAGAGACTTTTTAACTTTGTCATATCTATTAGTGATTGATTTTCTTTTTCTAATTAATGGAATTAAATTGAAATCAATATAGATTGGACTTTATTTTATTCTTTTAATTCTTAGATAAAGCATGGCTAATGAGGAAATTATTTTGATTTATAAAGTTTTATGTAACAACTCTTGTTAAACATTATTGGTATAATCATTTGTTTCAATATCTCACAAGTATAATACAAAAATCTAAACAATAATAACACATATTCTAATATTAATTATAACAATTTAAATCTAATTATATTATTCTAATAAAATTTTAAACTTAAATTACATGACGATGAAACTCAATTTTATAAATAATAAATTATTATATAAATCTTAATAATTATATATATATTCGCATATGATTTTTAAATCTTCCAATCAAATTCACTCTTACCATATATTTCAATGCATTATTCATAAACTTTGAAAACTCTATCATCATTCCTCAGATAAAATGATACTATTTATCGGTATACATTAAGATAAAAAAACAATAGCATTTAGTAAAAAGTTAATTGTGTGGATAGTAAAAACACGTGCACTAAGGGATCATAGAAAGGCAAAACCTATATATTTTGTCAAGTCCTTGTTTATCTCAAAAGAAGGATGCTATATTCTTTGAAATTATTTACCGTTGTAGGTGCTCTGTTTACTCTGTTATTCTTATCACGACGGAATCAAATACCAAGTTAGAAGTTGATTAAGACCTCTTAATTAGTAATATTGAAATGTTAAACCTTTAACTTAATTCAAAATTACAGGACATAGGGGAAGAAACAAAGTGAAAAAAATAGATTGACATAATATGTGAAAAAGTATTTGAAATATTCAAAAAAAATTAAACAAATATTTATTTTTTATTATATTCAATAAAAATTTTATATTTTTATTTTAAATAAAATAAGTATTATAATTAATAGTTGATTAATTATTCTTACTCAAAATAATACATAAAATCATTTTATATGAAAAAGCCAACATGTAGTATAAAATGATAAATAATATTTTAATTAAAAATAATTAATTAATTTTAAATTATAAGAGATTACTTAGTTTAAAATAAAAATATAGAATTTAATTACATGTAATAAAAAATAATTTTTTTACTTTATAATTAAATCAAATAGATATTAAATTAAAAAAGTGATTAAAAGATTTAAATCAAAGTTAATATGATTCTCAATTTAAACAATATTCTCATAAAAAATATGTGACTACTCTTTTTAAAAATGAATTTGGAAACAAATAATCTAAATATTAGGTTTATTTTTATTTTTTGCTCCCAAGTATGATCATTATATTACTAATATTAGTAGTATATACATAAAAAAAAAAAAAAGAGCTGTAATTGAGAATTGATGCCATCGTCAACTGCGGCGAAAGACTGGGGTGCAGAAGACCGGAAGAGAAAAGAGGGCGATAAGCTTTGGGTGAATCGTTGGCAACTTTGGCAGCTAACGCGAAATGGGACTGAGCAAGAGAGACAAGAAAAGCAGCTCCACTTCAACGTCGCCTTGTGCCCATCTACGAGCTGCTTACCACAATTGCTTTAACAGGTCGCTTCTTCTTCTTCTGTTTCCTCTTATTGTTCAATTTCCCTAAAACCTTTCTTAAGCCTTAGCTCCCTCTCTCAACTGCAGGTGGTACTCCGAGAAATTTGTGAAGGGTCAGTGGGATAAAGAGGAATGTATTTCTGAGTGGCAAAAATATAGAGCTTGTCTCTCTGTAAATCCCATCTTACTTTATTGTGTTTGGGGTTTTTCTCCTCTGGAATAAATTACTTTCTTCGTTTTGCTTATTTGGTTTTGTTTTGTCGGACAGGAACATTTGGATGACAAGCATCTAAGTCGCTTCTTGGAGGCTGAAGGCCCTGTTGGTTATGTTTTTCAAGAGGACAGTGGAAACCCAGTTGAGAATACTGCTAAATAGTGGCAAAGAGGTGAAACTAACTCAATTGAAAATTTTCATCATTTTGTCTATTGTGATTCCTTTTAATTGCATTATTTGAAATTTGATAATCTTATGTTCAAAGAAACATTGTGATTGATACAGCTGATGCTAGACGAGGTTAGGGAAATATTATGGATAGGTGGTTGTTACTTGTTAAGATCTCAGGGAGGAACTGAATTATAAGTTATTTAATGGAACATAGACATAATCCGAATAGAGTCATTAGATAAAGTAGATGTAACATTGTTGGTGATGCCTGTCTCAGACAAATTGTGGAAAGCACTCCTAATAGCACCGTGATTCAGGTTGTTGATAGTGATCTGAGACACGAAATTTAATCAGAAACTGCTACTGGTTTCAATTTGCTACTACCTAAAACTGACACATTTTGTTTGGGTGCATGATGTATTACCTATTTTGTGTATATCACGGGAAGCTTTACGAGTTGTACTCTGGTCATTGAACCAATTTGTCCTTGTTTAGTGTCACAACCTCAGACAGACTACATATAAGTAGCAGTAACACCATTGCTTCTTCTCTACTATCTTCTACGTTGAGCATGACCCCAGGCTACATCATATTTTTCTGATTTTGCTGGATTTTGATTCTACATTGTTTGGACAAGCTCTTGATTTTCTTTCATCCCTCCGAAATTTGTGCATTGTGTCAGTTAAAGAAGACAGACAAGTCTTCCAGTCATCATCTCATGTTTAACACATATACCATGAGATGTTGATTTAAGTGATGTCTACTTCTGAAGGAATAAGCATTGTCAGGAAACTTTGTTTGGAACTATGATTTCTATTTTCCACCTTGCATTCCTTTAATGCTGCAGTTTTTATGTGGATCACCTTTAAGAAAATCACAATATCTAGCTGAGTGGTGAGTGCCTCACGCATTATCAATTATGAGATGTAACTAAATGTTGTATCTGCTAGAAGTTTTTATTTACTGCAAGACAAGCTTTCTTCTCTCTGTTAATGGTTATTTCCTTTATTGACTAAGGTAATTCTGGTTGTTTCTTCAGGCAATCAACATATACCATTTGTTAAAGCTGGTTGCAAGTAACAACCATCCTCAGTTGTAGATATTAATGATACAGCTACTCGCATGAAACTAGTTAGTTTTTGCTTAAATTGCCCTGAGGAGTAGTTTAGTTGTTTCCTTTTATAGTGAGGATTTTGGTAGATAAGAACTTGATAGAGAAGGTGAAAAAATCAAGCCCAGTGTCGAAGTACTTGTTAAGATAGTTGAATTTGTTGGTTCTGATGCAGAAAAACTCAATTGGTATTGATTGTGACAAGGAAATTCATTTGATATTTTTAATTGACCAACATGAATTTTGATGCAGAAGTTGATTTTGCTGAAATTCATGATAAGCCTTATTATTTCCATTCTTATATATCATTTCAGTAAAACTTCACCATAGGAGTAAAGATCCAAGGATGTGTGATCAGCTGGGAGATCCAACAGAAATCTTATACCTCTGTTAACAAAAAGGATCCCTTCTAAACTCCACAAAGGTTCAATCTTAAACTATTTTTGTTTTGTTGCATGAATTTAAATTATGCACTCTCCACTTTGGTCGATAGAAAGTTACATCTGCAACAGTCCTGCCTTTAGTCACCCAACACAGTCCAAAAACATGTCTGGGTTAAGATTTATTCTCTTAATAATAAAAGAGCTTTTATTGATATCCAGGCTTTAGATGTTCTCTTATATTATATATACTCCCTGAACTCCCACGAAGGCGCACTGGTTAAAATTGAAATTAAACAATAGGAACTAGAAAGGATTAGCTTAACAAATAAAAAACTAGCAAGGATTACCAACATATAAGATAACAGCACCAAGTAAAACATTGGAAAAAATAGGCTATTTTGGTTCCTGATGCGGTTGTTACAGCTTTCTTGGAATACAAGAGCCCTGGAAGACCAATTTCATCAGGTATGAATATGTTATTCAACAATTCTGGAGTTCCTGTTATAGAAGTAATAATTGCATATAGCAGCCATTTATTGCAAAATGAACATACTTTTATCCTCCAATGTTGGTTTCAGGTGGAAATCAGCATTGACTGCTTCATTTCTTTTTGAATAGGAATAGTGCAACCATCCATTCTTCTCCATTATTGTATCCAAAAAGTTCTGCAACAGCGATAAAGAATGTTCTCCAATGGACGGTCCATTTGACAGCCTGATCCTTGCCATAGGTTGACTCCATTATTGGCTTAATGGAAGCCAAGTTTTGGTCCATTCTCTTGAGCCATTCTTCACTGCAAAACAAATTTTCTGTGAGAACGTTCGAACTTTTAACAGGGAAAGAACTTTTCTAGCCTCAAAGTTCATTCTTAAACAAATCACTATAGCTGTTGTTAGTGTCTGATGAATATTGATTTTACAGAATAACTGCTCTCACCTAGTCTGTGCATAATGTTTCCCATTCACAAGCCAATGATTGACAACAGAAACATCATCCTGCATACATATGATGAACAAGAAGCCATCAAGTGATATAGCCCATGCTCAAATATGCACATTCCTTTATATGGTTAGGCATCATGGGAAAACTTTTTTTTTGGTCAGGAATAGTCAAAAATCAAGGGCTGTTGATCTCAATTTTCAGAATTCATAGCATATATTAGATGCAACAAAACCACAAACTTCATCATGTGGAGTGTAAACCTTACCTGGAAATAAAGAAGCAGATTAGCTGAAGGCATTGTACCTCCTGTGAAGAAGTACCTAGTTATCCAGTCATCTTCATTTATGTCCTAGATAAGAATGTTTGAGAAAATACTATCATATCAGCTAAGAGCCTTATAATTAAAATAATTTCATAAAATTGTCTGATGTCTACTTATTGCCTAAACCCATATTAGCAATGTCAATTAAGGTCACGCAGCAGAATCAATTTATATGCATACCTCAAAGTGGTAAGCAAATGCTTTATGGCAGAAATAATGAACAAAAAGAAGACTATCCTGTTTCATCCACTTGGACAGCTTCTTGAGAAGATCCTGATAGTTCTTCATATGCTGTTGAAATAAACCACAATCAGTTTAATTTCCAACTATCAATAGTAACTCTGTGTAGTAGGACGTACTGACAGCAAAAACAATTAACCTCAAACATTTCAATGGAATATATCCTGTCGAATGATGCCTCCATTTCAAATGAGCTTATGTCTGCAACCATGATCTCCACATTCTGTAACTGATGATCCCTGTTAAGGTAACAAAAAATAGTTTCAAGACTCAAAGCACTTAGCATGTCAATACTATCATTTATACATAGCAAGTAGCATATTTACCGGCATTGCTCCTCTATAAAAGCTCTCTGTGTGGTGGAATTGCAGATTCCTGTGACCCTGCAATTGGGATATTTCCGGGCAATGTACAGAGAAAGTGAACCCCATCCACACCCCACATCAAGAACTGTGTGCCCATCTTTCAATTGTGACTTCTCACAGTACAGCTCAAACATTGCTTCCTCAGCATCCTCCAAAGTTCTCGACCCATCGGAGAAGTAACAACAACTGCATCATTCCATACGTGAAAACCATGTAAGCCAATAACTATAAAACACAAATATCGAACTCTTCCAACTTGAAGAACGTAAAAGGAAACAAAGCACCTGTATTTGAAATTCTTCCCGAGAACCAACTTGAAGAAAGAGGTTGGCAGTTCGTAATGTTGAGTTTTAGGCTTATCTGTCTTGATAGCTATAGGCATCTCCTTCAAAGCTGCGATGTCGAATTAACAAACAGGTCAACGAAACACAACAACATCAAATCAGGGTAAGCCAAAAAACAGAAAAAAATCAAAGAAAAAGTTACTACAGCATTTAACAAATGTACGCACAGTGAGCGAATTGGAGGAGGTCAGAGAGTTGGAGCTCAGCGGAGGGTCTATAACCAGAGCGGAGACGGCTAGCCAAGAGCAACCGTGTTAGCTTCCTTATAACAGCATCGGGCAGCAAATTCCGCTCCAGAGAAGCCAACATCAACCGCACCGTAGCATCATAAGGCGCCTGCAGTAAACTCTCCATAAGCAAACACTCTACTAGACTGATCCTTCCCTGAATTTTTCCGTCCGCCAAGAATAGAGGTGCTTCAATTATCTGTTGGTGTTGGGTAAGATATTAAGGATAACCCAAGTTGCTGTCTATTGCTGGTACGCGGCCTAAAATTTGGCGTCACGGACATGGGGCTTTTGGGCTTTGTCTTGGACCTTTCTGGTAGGTAAATGGCCTGGGAATCAGAATCATAAATCCAGATCTTTTCATTAGTAAATGGACGTTAGAAAACTCACAAGAAATCCAAGATGACAAGCATTTGACATGCAATGGGTAAATCGAGTTGAAATATCACCAATCAAGTAAACCCACAATAGGAAACTCAATTGATAGAAAACTGAGTGAAGTCAATCAAAACATCTAAAGGAAAAGTTGAAGGATACAGATTGAAAATTTTAATTTACTGGTTGTAGTAGATTAAAACAGACAAAGAATAACCTGTCGGTGGATGATGATACGCTAGTGGTCAGCCTTGTAAATATCCAAAGGAAGATCAAAATTGTTCATACTTAGCAATCAAACGGCCAGAGAACCCATTCTGTAGAGAATAACATGAGGTCTACGACACTGTATCCGAACTCTATTATAAAATTAGAAATAGTAGACTGTTTTTGCTGCCTCGGTTTCACCAACAAATCAAAGGACAGGCTGTTCATACAAAGACCAAAACATATCTTTTTCCACTTTTGTCCCGCTAAAATTTCCCGGAAAATAGAGGGAGAACAGAATGAAAATTAGACGATCCCAAGAAAATACCAAATATACCAACGACTTGGTTATCATTTTTCATTTCATGCAAAGGAGAGTTTATTATTCGTTTTGTTTTTAGTTCAAAGCTAAGCCACTGAAATCGATCAAGGTTTGAGTTTACTGTTTCATCTGACAGACAAAGAGAATCGTATTTCAAGTAAGTGAATTTTAGTTTGCTTTGATTAGTTCCTTTCTGGGTTTTCAATGATTTATCTTGTAATTCTTTTTTTTCTTCCTTTTTGGTGCATGACTTAATGCTTCAAGTGGGTTGTTGAAGATATCTGGGGAGACTGAATTTGTTTAGAATATCTGTTATTGCGGTTTATAACCGTCTTTTGTGGAATGGAGAAAATGAACTCCAAAATGGAGCTTCATAAGAATAATTGTGGTAGTGATTCTAATAATGGTCAGTTGTTGCGTGACATTGAGGAAATAAGCAGAGCCCTTTACTTGCAAAAACCCTCATCAAAAGCTTTGGTTGCCACATCAAATGTTAGATCTAAATCTGTTGGAAAAACCCGTCTTTCAGAATCAAAATCAAAGCAGGACTCAAGAAACCTCTGTGCTGATGTGATGCAGAAGGATAAAAAATCATCATCATTGTGGAATTGGAAGAAACCCTTGAAAGCATTAACTAATATTAGGCGTCATCGGTTTGATATTTGTTTCTTTCTCCATGTGCATTCTATTGAAGGCTTGCCTGCCTATTTAAATGACTTTAGCTTATGTGCGCATTGGAAGAGGAAGGATGAGGTATTGTCTACTCATGCAGCGAGGGTTGTGGATGGAATTGCTGAATTTGAAGAAACGTTAATGCATAAATGTTATGTGTATGGTAGAAGTGGACCTCACAATGCAGCAAAGTATGAGGTGAAGCTTTTCCTTATCTATGCTTCCATTGTGGGTGCTCCAGGGAATAGTATGGGGGAGCATTGGATTGATCTCACAAGGCTGTTACCACTTACTTTGGAGGATTTAGAAGGGGAGAAAGGCTCAGGTAAATGGACAACAAGCTTTAAACTTTCTGGCAAGGCTAAAGGTGCTACTCTAAATGTCAGTTTCAGTTTCGTGGTAACTAGGGACAATTTAGTTGAATCTAGTGGCAACGTGAATGCATCGAATTTTATAAGTCTAACAGAGACCGGGTCAAGTGCAATGGGACACAGTGGAGGTCTTCATGCAAGTAATGGGAATGGGATGCTTCATCATGCTGGGACTGTTCCAAGTAATGTAAGCCACAGGTCTTATCTGTCACCCCTGTCTGTTGATATAAAGTTTGGTACTGAAGTGTTGCCAAATTTGGGAGTTGAACTTTCCAAATCTATAAGTTTTTTATATCAGAAACTTAATGAAGGGAATTTCCACAGCCCGTCAGGCTTAGATAAATTGTCCGAACATGTTGAGCCTCTGAAACCTAATTCTGAGTCCGGTAAAGGTATAGATGAGTATGAAAACATTGACTTTTTTGTCATTGATCAGGGTGTAGAAATGTGTCAAAAAGATCCATCTAAATGTGAACAAATTGATATTCAGATTATTGATGGCTCTGCCATCGAAACTATCAATGTGGATGAGATCCTTAAAGATTGTGACTCGGATGTTAATGAGAAGGCAGAACATGTTTTAAAGGTCCACAGCTCCAGTAGTTGCAAGGAGGTAGTGGTAGATGACTGTAGACAAGAAAAGAGAAATATATGGTCCAAACCAGTGACTGTTCAAGAGCTGGAGTCAGCTTTTCAAGATATGTTGCTTACAGAATCATCAGTATCAGGATCTCCATCTGCTTTGGACGAGTTTATTGAGCATGAAAAGTTTATGGAGGTTAAATCAAATTACAAGGCTAGCAAAGTGACAAAGAAATTGCTAAGTTTGGATGATATTGCCGACACTGTGGCTACTGATTTCTTAAAGATGCTGGAAATTGAACATGATCCATTTAGCTTGAATCCTGATAGTGCTCTTGAATCTCCTAGAGAGCGTCTGTTGAGAGAGTTTGAAAATGAAGCCCTTGCCTCTGGTGACTTCATCCTAGATTTTGGTGCAGGAGGAGAGCAGGCAGAAATTGGTTCCACCACTCCTGGCTGTGAGGATATTTATGAAGATTTTGCTGTCTCTTCAGTTATTCTGCCCAGTGAGGAGCAGAAGATGGAAAGTCTGTCACTGAAAAACAGAAGGAAGGTCAACATGCTTGAAAACTTAGAGACTGAAGCTTTGATGCGTGAGTGGGGCTTAGATGAGAAGGCATTTCAAAGTTCTCCACTTGTTCAAACCGACGGATTTGGAAGTCCAATTGCGCTTTCCCCAGAACGAGGTGAATTACCTCCACTGGGAGATGGCTTTGGACATTTCATTCCAACAAAGGATGGAGGTGTTCTGCGATCCATGAATCCCTCACTTTTTAGAAATTGTAAAAATGTTGGGCACTTGGTCATGCAAGTATCTAGAGCAGCTGTACTTCCTGCAAGATTGGGTACCGATATTATGGAGATACTACAAAACTTGGCTTCACTTGGAATTGAGGACCTGTCCTTGCAGGTAAATACAATAATGCCTTTGGAGGATATTACCGGGAAAACATTGCAACAAGTTGCGCTGGGAGCCACGCCTAGGGCTGTTGTGCAAGAGAGGTATGTAGTCTTGTCAATTGCATGAATTTTTTTTTTTTGAAAAATAGGCATTTCATTCAACAACCGGGAATGAAAACAAAACCCTGTAAGAAACAAGGTCAGCACCGGATTTTAAGTTGATATGGTTTTAAGTTGCTATTAGACCCATATCAACTTAAAATCCAGGCTTTGCAAGAAGAACACATAGCAACAACAGCATCCCAGCCATTCCCTGTACAAAACACCCTTTCCAACAAAAACACAGGTTCACGACAGATCCTAAACATCAATTCAACCAAAAATCACATATCCTGTCACATCAGTCAATTGCATGAATTTATGAAGTAATCTTGTTTTCAGTTTCTCAATTTCTTTTTTTTTTTCCATTTTTCTCTTTTATCCTTCTTTTGCTTCTTGATATGCCTGTTTTATTAATTCAAAATCATTATGACAGGCAGGTTGAGTTGCAGCAAGAATCACTATGCGATCAGGATTCATTTTATCAGAGAAAGGAAGTTGAAGGATTTCAATGTTGCAGGAACTATGATAATCTGAGCTCAGGCCTCGTAGGTGGTGAGATGAGCGCAGGTTGTATATCTTTGGAAAACCTTGTTCCATCAGCCATGAATAGGATTGAAGCCCTTGCAATAGAGGGTTTGAGAATTCAATGTGGCATGTCAGATGAGGGTGCACCATCAACCGTCAGTCCTTTGTCCTCTAGCAATATGTATTTTATTACAGGGAAGGATTCAAAGTCTGGTAAGTTTTTCAGTTTGGAGGGGGCTGCAGGTTCACAGTCTCTGGATTTCAGAGATGATGTTGATGATGTTAATAGATTAATGGCTCTTTCGATAACATTGGATGAGTGGTTAAGGCTGGATGCTGGAATTATTGCTGATGAAGATCAAATAAGTGACCACACGATGCAGTTGCTTGTGGCCCATAAAGCCAAATGCATTGATTTGGTTAGTGGAATATTGACAAAACATGTTAACTTGGGTAAAGCATCTAGTAGAAAGCATGGATTGTTGGGGAACAACTTTACACTAGCTCTCATGGTGTTGCTTAGAGATCCCCTTCGAAACTATGAACCAGTTGGCACTTCAATGATTGCTTTAATTCAAGTAGAGAGGGCTTCTGTCCCTCTAGAGGAAGGAATCTGTAGCACAGAGCCAGAAGGAGATCACGAAGAGAATCCTGAAGAGGATGGGGAGGAAAAAAAAGAAGGTACACCATTTTTCAAAATCACCGAGGTCCATCTTGCTGGGTTAATTACTGAGCCTGATAAGCAGTACCTTTGGGCTACTAAAGCACAGCAACAGTCTGGGACCCGCTGGTTGCTTTGTAGTGGCACCGCTAAGTCCAATATGAATACATTTTCAAAGTCAAAGGCCATTGAAAAATTCTACCCACCAGTGATGAGAAAGATGCAGGCTAGGAATGTGCTGTGGAGTCTAACCTCTAATGTTCATGAAGCAGAAACTAGTTGGAAAGAATTGGCAGATTTGGGCCCACATTCTAGAAACCCTAATGTCATATTTCCAAAGTAAGGTGTCAAATTTGTTGTAGGTTGCATTTTTTGACTACTCTAAGTGGAGCATTTACTAAGAATATGGCTTCATTTGTAGAGTTAACAGAGTGTAGGGCATATCATTATTTCTGTATGTATGTATTAAGTTTTTCTGCACTTAGTTGGCAAGCTGTACAGCCCAGTAGGAAATCTAATTTGCATTTGCATGTCTATACACATGTAATCAGTTCATGTCCATTTGATAAATGAAGCATATAGTGAAAGTTTCCCGGATTTTCTGTGCCTCTTGTTGTCTTGCAATAGTTTGTTTATGATGCGATGCAGTCACATGCTCACCACAGGTCTATAATTATATTGATGATTTCGGTTGCAATTAGAAATATCAAGTGGTGCTAGTGTTAATACCTTCCATTTTTTTCTACGGGTTTAGCAACAGATCTTGGAAGCAGAGCAAAAGAAGAGAGGCAGACTTTTCTTCCCCATAGTTTCTCTTTTGTTTCGATTTTTTGGGTCCAAATGTTGGATGTCAGAGTCAACACATCCCTTCCCTATCAAAGCTGCAAATCTACCGTAGTATAGAAAGGTAGTGCAAATGAGAGATATCCGTAACGGCACCTTTATTGGTTTCAGAGCCCTCTGATATTGTCGCATAAAACAAGGAAGCAGCTTTATCTTTAATGGACATACCAGGAGTAGGCGATGCAGTGAAATTTTATCGGGTACTTGGCATAGTCTCTTTAGAGTGTCCTAGCATTGATGGATGCTCATTTTCTGTTCTTCAAAGTGGAAATAAAGATTTTCTTGCATAATTATATGACAAAAAGAGAACTAAAACGAAGTTTTTGACAAATGAAAAGTTGTGGAGATCACGATAATTGCCCATGTTTCATCTTTCCCTGCCTCTCTGAATTTAAAGTCGAGAAAGAACTTCTATCAGTGTTGGATTCTTGTCTTTAACGTATTGAGCAACAGACAGTTTTGACTTTTGATTCAATGGAACACATGGAATTATGCAGTATTCAAGGTATAGTCTCTCAACCCTGAAGAGACTGCAGAAGTGGGTTAGCTGACTTAATTGCGGCAATTAATCCATTTTATTAGTGAAAATGCTTGGGGTAATTATGAGGTCAAATCTGTTCTGCCCCCGGACAGAACTTTGATATTTTCCTGCCCAGGACCAGAGTTTAGAGACCATATGGCAGCAATTTAGAAGCCCTCAAGTTGCTTGCCTTACTGATAATATTCTTTCGTGGATGAGACTTAATTGCTTTTTGGAGTGATTTCAAACTTTGATCTTTGACTTGAGTTTCTCTTTCTGCACGTTTGTGGCTGTTATTGCTGGGACACAGAATTTAACCTATGAAAGGATCGATTGTTTGAACATAGAAATTGCCTCTTGGATATTAAGGAGGTTCAAGAGTTTTTCCACAGAGCACCAGACAAGGGCTATTCTGGAAGTTCCTATTTGCCAGCATGGGGCGAAGGAGAAGGTTGTGTGACCTATTACAGAAAATCGGCAGTATTCTGTTATATCCGGATAAAGCTCATTAAACGTTCTGTCAGAGATGATAATTCCAAGGCAGCATCATCTTCCCGTGTGATTGACAAGAAAATTTGGAATCTAAAGGCACCTAACTTCCTCTGGGGACTGCAACAATGCAGTTGCTACTAGAGAAAATCTTTGGAAAAGGAAGGTGGTGAGTTCTCCAAGCTGTCAAATTTGTGGTATTGACCAGGAATCAATTGAACATGTTATTTTGCGTTGTGAGTGGGCTAAGCAAGTATGGCTTGGGACTCCTTTGGCTCTGAGAATAAACACAGCCGTGGGAAACAGGTTGAATCTTGGCTATTGTCACTTTGGGGGTATAAAAAGGACATAAGACTGAAAGGAACCGTCATGACCAGACTTTTGTTTTATCGTTGGACAAGTTGGAAGGCTAGATGTGAAGCTGCGCTTGAGCTTTCCTCCCCTAACCGTATCAGCATCATTACAAGAGCAGAGGCTGCAATTACAGAATTTTTAATCACCATGGCAGTTGCTCCTAACAGTTCAACAAATGAGAGTAGGCAGCCAATGTTGAATGAAGGAAGGTGGAAAGCCCCTCCTGTACGGTGGATCAAAATAAATTGTGATGAAGCCTTCAGTCAAGAGAGTAGGAGGCTGGAATTGGAGTTGTAGCTCGAGAAAATACGGGTTGTACAATAGATGGCATTGGCAGAAACATCTGCGCAGAGTCAGGTATTGTCGTGGGGGCAGAGGCTTTAAGACAGGGAGTCCTTTTGGCAAAAGAAAAGGGTTTTCCTCTAGTGATCAATATCACACCCAAAGGTGCTTATAACGGAATTGAAAAAGACAAGCAGTAGAGAAACAAATGAAAGTTGCTGCCAATAGCGCGGGATATTGGAAAACTAAGACAGCAAATCAGATTTTTCAAGCTTAGTTTGGTTTCAAGAGCTGCTAATCAAGCAGCAGATTGGCTTGCATCAAATCAAGAGAATGGTGTCCTGAAATGAAAGCAACTTGTCGTCATTCTGGACAAGGATAGATTGCCTGAGCCAACATGATTTGCTTTCTAGTTTCCTGGTACAACTAGAGTTTTCAGAATCTCGCATGGAGGCTGTTACTGATATGGACTTAAAGTGATTAATTTGCAGCCAATTTCATACCATTTTTCGCCAAAAAAAAAAAAAGAACGTCACCAATCGAATCAAACAATTCAAAAGAATCTCATGTAAGATTTTACCGTCTCCAAGCTTGATTTTCTGTCTCCTACCAACGTCTACCAATCCTGAATAAATTGGAATTTGTGTTCACTAATCTTGCTTTGCGCGGTTAACACGTAACAGGCATCCTTCTGTCAAATTCACCAATGCTATCAACTTATAATTAAAATCTATCAGTTGAAAACGGGGAGTGAAACTCAGGGTTCCGCCAGCCAACAAATTATACAAAATAAAGCAACAGAAAGATATAAAGGTGGCCAAACCCCATGTATTCCGATCCTTAGATCTTTAGTTTTCTTAACCATACATGAATTGAGTATCATGCTGAGTATCATGTGATCGATGCAGATGTAGGCCTTCTGCAGGAGTACTGGCTGTGAGATATTGACTGTCAAAGAACTCGATGGAACCTGAGAAAACCACTGATTCAAGAAGCGCTTTGGTGATTATGGATCCCCTCATAAGTTGTAATTACAAAACTTGGATCCTCTCTGTCTCTTTCAACTCTTTTCTTCACGGCGCATCCTTCAACAGAACATCTATAATAGTTCCTGTTAATCAAACAATAAGAAATGAACTTCTGAGAGTTTAAGCTGGTCTCCTACGACTTGGTGCTACAGACTCAATATCATACGTTAAACAGGTACTTTGTTAGGAGTATTATTATCTAGAATCTAGCAGTATTTCATCTTCTGTTTATTTTGTTAATGGACGATACTACTACGATCTGTCAAATTAGTTTGGCTTTGATTCATGAGAGTATTAGTGAACAGTAGTTATCATCCAAGAAAACTGCCATGTCCAAAACTCCCAACTAATTTGAATAATCGGAATATATCTGATCTTGGGTGGCTTAATTGCAGCCTTTGTAGAAAATTATTACATGCTGCAATGATTAATCGTAGTTAACTAATACAATGAAACCTCTGAGTTTAAAGATTAAAATCATACAAGCATTGGAAATACCTTGGGTTTGGGCTGTTCTTCACCATCTTCTTCCCATATTTCCTCCATCTGTACCCATCGTCAAGTATCTCAACCTCTGACTTGGTCCTGAATGCATATCTTTCTTTGAATTCCCTCCTCTCCCTGATAGTTTCACTTTCTTCTGTTAACACAAGTAAAACAAGGAAGAAGGATGATTCTCAGTGACAACAGACTAATATAGGAACTTAAGATGTAGGTAATGAATTTTCTTACCGTTACCAGCTGGTCCTTGAAGGAGGCTGCTAGCGCCAGCAAAATCATTAACTTCATTGGCTTGATTAACAGGATTCTTAGTTGTCCCTGAGCTGATTGCTTCAGGATAATCCCCCAGCCAACTGTCCAAAGCGAAGTAATCGTCAGTGAACTCAAAATTGGATTGGTCGGCATGATCACTTTCTGGTGAGTCTGGCAGTTTAAAATTGACAGTAGACATCTAGATATCGAAAACAAGGGACTACTGTCTATACAGTTTTCGATAATGGTATACATATAGCATTCCTATATGGCTTTATCAGCAAGGTGGCTTCGCCATGACCTTCCTGTGATATTGCAGGAAGCTTCAATGTTAATGCTGAATGCCTAAGAATTGAGATGTTTGGGCCCCAGTTACGTACCTTCAAGCAGTTAAAAGGAGGTGGGGCTTCCCAAAGGATGACTTGAGAGGAAGACTTCCTGCATTTGCTTGTGTGAATTTAGCTTCCAGTCTCGTGCTTAGACCAACCCGTTCGCAACGGTGAGAGAGAAGACAAGTCAAAAGTGATTGTGACTTGAACATGATAAGATTATTCTAAGCTCTACATTTAGCTTGCTCCTCCCCCACCCAAAAAAGCGCAGAAAGTTGCTAAATGCCATCAGGATCAGCTGGATTTTGCAGCTATATTTAGCGCCCTGAAGGCTGAAGTCGATTGGCTACATGTGTGAATTATAAGATGACCAAAGACTTGATCGTTCAAAAGAGAATTATAGTGTGAAAGGATACCTAAGACCAGTTTGTCTTGACTGATTGCATGCCATACAGCAGACAACCAATCAAAAGGACCAACAGGGTTGCCACAAATGAACTCTAAACAATCGCCCCCGATCACCTAATTAATTTTTACTTAACAGAAGGCAAATCCGGTCAATTATCGCCAACCAGCTAAGTTAATCTATAATCTTTTACAGTGAACTCCTCCAAGTGCAGACAAAGCATCATGGTCATTAGCACAGACTATCTATCCCTGTTGTTCACCTTATAGGCAGGCTACTTGACTACACCCCGAAGTTACACATGTAACTTCCATTGTCAGTGTAAGCTTTCCTAAGTTTCCCGGGTTCTGACCTACCTGATTGGCTTGATCACTCCCTATGTATTTATTTTTTTAGCTTCAGCTGTCGTAAAACCAATTTTGAAAATGACTTCCTGATCGACAAAGGTGTCGTCAACAACCATCCTTGGCATAGTTTGCCTTAGTGTCAAATCACTCCGAAATACTCCGTTGTTTTCAACCATACCTGGTTCCTGGAAGCCAGACTGCGGACTCCGGAGATAGGCAATTGAGATGGTCAAATGAAGATAAGACAACAATATCATCTTTATACTACAGGGAGGCTCACACATAATTCTGTGTGATTTGACAGGAGTATTTAATTATGAGAATGGCTCAGATGGAATTCATTTCTCGTGTTGATAAGTTTAGTTACGCAACATAATACACGGTCCCCTTCTTATGGTGTCATATATATATATATATATATATATATTTGAAAAATTAATTAAAATTGATTTTTTTTTATTTCATACGTAAGTAGCATGTGAACGACGTTTCGTTTTAAAATTAAATAAAAAAAATTGACGTATGATACATCAAATAGTACGATTTTTCGAATCAATTTTCATTCTAATGGGAAAGCAGGGAAAATAATTTTTTTACTTTTATTTTTAACAAAGATAAGAAAATTGGTTAATGTAAAATTAAAAGATATAATATTTTACAAAGTTTGTAAATTATTTTAAAAAGTTAAATAAGTTTTTATTATTCTATTACTTTTAATAAAATTTTCGTATTTTTTATTTTGAATCAAATAGACTCTTATGATTAACAGTTGATTAAATGTTATTAATTAAAATGTCACTTATTATTTTTATATTATATGACACTAACATAGATAATGAAAAATGTTAAGTGACCATGTAATTATGTTTCATTAACGTACCATGTCATCCTTCAAAATAAAATATTGATATGTCATATCAACACCATGTGACATATTAATTAATATTAGTGAGTCAACTTTTAATTATAAAAATTTATTTGATTTAAAATAAAATTATAAAAATTTAATTAAACGTAATAAAAAGATAAAAATTTATTTAAATTTTCTTAAATAATTTAATTTTTTTAAAATATTATATCTAAAATATAAAAAAAGAAAATTTTTTTCATTACTACAATGTTGAAGCCAAGTCTTAATTGTTACAACATTAAATTATTTTTTACTTTAAAAGTGTTAAAAGGATTGAACTTAATTTGAGAGTTTAAATTTTTTATATTAGACTAAAATTTTATTATTTTTTATTAATATAATGATATTTAAATATGTTTATGATTTAAAATTCTATTTAGGTAATATATATATTTCAAATAGCCACTCAAAATATATATATTTTTCAAATAAAATCAAATAAACTTTTTGTATATATAATAAAGTAATATTTTGGGCCAATCTTGGGCTAAAAATGTATTTCCCATTCGCGAAGGAAGAGCGACGCGTGTACAGGCCTAGCCTTCAAAGCAAAACGGTGCGTTCGAATGTCAGTTGAAGGGGTAGGGGTTCAGGTTTCTCTGCTCCATCCTTCCCACTCTCTTCCAACAATGGCACGTTTCAAGGCG